AAAAAAAAATATTTAAATGTAATATTCGTTTAGCCACCATATTGTATGTGTTAACTTTTCATCACAACAACAACAAATTAACAATAATAATATTAATAATAATAATAATGATAATGATAATGATAATGATAATGATAATGATAATGATAATGATGATAATAATAATAATAATAATAATAATAATAATAATAATAATAATAATAATAATAATAATAATAATAATAATATTTGTTCAATGAGACTAATTAAAAATAATTTGCTTGCCAATGTAAATCTTCGGCCAATGTGCTGGTCCAACACGTTGAACCATCTATATAGTTCTCTTTAATGTGGACGTGTTGAGCTTCGGCCAATGCGCTTCACATACCATAAAGGTGGGTTGTGTGTGTGTGATAGTATTTAATGTTTCTATAATACCTGAACTGAAACATCACCAGTGTTTTCAAACGACGTGGTGAAACTAGTCAGTGCTAAGTTTGTTTAGGATCACCAAATCAACTACAGGCTGCTGTCGCCATGGAGTGGAGGTCTTCGTGTGATTTGGCATTCTGAATCCGATCCGTCAACACAACTGATGTTAGATGCGTCTTTCGCTTTCACTTCTGCTCCGGATAAATCTTACAAATAATAAAGAAAACGTTTCTTTGAATTCTTTTCTCATTATTTTACTTCTCCTAGCATATATTAACGGATTCACCATCGAGTTAGCGAGGATGAGAAAATATGCTAACCACGAGTACCACACAAGCCATGTGGAACCATTATCAACAGCTTTTTGGACAGTGCTACTTAGAACAGTTGGTGCAATACACAGAGTGTAAACCAGAAGTACTATGGCTGTTGTCTTGGTAACTTTCATTTCTCGTCTGTTAAATTTCTTTCCGTGGCGTGTGGCAATGTCTTTCGCTTTTTTTGACGCAATTGAGAAAATATATGCGTACAGAATGAACATGATAGGAATTGTCAAACCGGCAATCCTGGTGAGGTAAAAGTACACAGGGGAGCCATACATATAATAAAACGCTGAACTCCCGCATTCGTATTCATACGTCACATTAGGCGGTGGCACAAACAGGCTTGCTAGGGCACCTACTGCAAATGGACTTCCTCCGAGAAAAAAGCCAAACAAACTGACATAAATACAAATTCGAATTGCTCTTTCAACCGGCATCCACACAATATGTTTAATAGGGTATTTAATTGAAAGGAATCGATCAATAGTGATCACAATTAGATGCAGCCCTGAGATTACGATAAATATGCTAACGGGCACAAGATACCAAACGACACAGCCTTCTATATAAAAGAACTGTCTACGAAGAATATAACCAACCATACAAAGAGGAACGCCAATCAAGCCAGTTAAGAAATCAAAGAGTGCTAAGGATGTTATGAAGATACAACTCGGAGTTTTTGCTAAAGAACGATTCCGGTACACACTGAGTATAACAATCAAGTTTCCAATTATCGTCACCAGCATGACAGGTAAAAATGTACAAATCATAAAAATAAATAATCCTACAGAAACGTTTTGTTGTATTAACACCGCCATGAAAATTCTTGAAGGTATAAAATCGGTAGAAAAAGTCAATTTGGTGAAAACTGTCAACCACTGTCGTTTTGCTTGTAAATATACTTTTATTCGCTGGTATTATAACAGTAATCGTAACAGATTCAATAAATAATGAGTCTATAATTTCAAATAGGCTAGCTTTATTGTATGTAGATCAATGCTTATATCCAATACGAAAAAGCAAGTGAATATTATTGTGCAATGATTGGATAGACGATACTACTGAAATTCGACATGCGCAGTGGTCATATTTTGTTTACGCCATTGTATTGAAGGTTGTGATATGGGATATAGTTTTTTTTCTGTCATGAGCATTTTTTCAGTTTTTCCACATTAGTTAGACATTATGTGCTAATGATGAATTTTAATGCCATTTATAAAATGAACCCAACAAATGTGTATACGAATGATGTTTAAGCACTGGCAGAATATAAAAAAAAAATTGAAATCGTTACAATTTACGTGGTCAGACCTTAGTGTAGAGTTCCTAAATTTTCCAAACATCCCTTCACCACCTCCCTTTGTATGCCCCACACCCAGGCCTACTCTACCCAAAACAAAATCGAGAATTAGCCTACAGTAGACACCTGTACGAGAAAATTGAAGACCAAATTTGTTCAGCCCCGATTGAATGACTATCTTTTAACTTTACCTGTTCCCTTCGATTAAAGACCAGCGTGTTGTGATAAATGAAATTGTGCTACAGAATGCTAAGCCTTAAGTAGTGTATAAATACACGACTGCCGTAGATTTAACAAACATTTTGGTACTTTTGGATATATACGGCAATGTATGCAGTGCATTGGCGTTCAAAATAGTGTATTTAGCTAAAAATGGATTTAACACGTTCTTTGCCACAAGATCAAGTCCGTACGGAGCAGTCCGGCTGGTCGTTATGGCTGGACCAATTGTATCACCAATCAATTTTGTTTGTATGCCCAATTGTCCATCAGATTCAATATCATTTTCTTACTATTAATATGGACTTTAAGTAAGCTTCCGTGTCTACACCATGTCAAGACAAACAAACATATCAGTCCCGTATCAAGCAGTTTAATCCTTTTTTTTGTAAATTGATTTTTCTTTTGTTCTTTGATTATTACCTGCTGGCTTGTTTTGTCCTCTTATTCCTTTCAGTTGTTAGTTTCCCTGTTGAGGACCCCACTGGAAATAAGTACCACACTGAGGCTATCATTTTTTTTTATTCCTGCTGTTTCATTATTTGTATTGCCTTTTTTATACTTGTTCTTAGGTTTTTGGTTTTTTTTTTTGTATATTAAGATCGAATCTTTTATTTGCAGTAACTTAAATTTGTAATATATTTAACAAACAGATTTTAAA